CGACTCCGGTGCAGGGGAAGACAAGAATGTCTCCAATTAAGCGATTGAGGTGTTTTGTTGTTGGATGCAATAATGAACATAGCAGTCGTCATTTACTCCCGACATCTGAAGACACAGAGGATTAACATTACTTTAGTTTTTGAAAGGAATGCGCTGATCCCCGATCTGCCTAAATGCGTTTAAGTTCGCACTAATCATTCATGATCCAGCTTCATCGACAGAAGAAGTGAGTATAAGTGTTTTTTATGAATCTTTGCAAATCGCCTTTCCTAATATGTGCTAGTTAGCAAGTTTCGCGGTTGAAGTTTAAAGTCTAATCGTCACCCCAGGGAAGAGAGGGGCGGGGTCAGAAGAGCTCATTAGCATTTAAAGCAACACGGACTAGAACGGCGTGCTGAAAACAGAGCTGATTTTGACAGGGTAAAAAGGGTGTTTTTTACACTACCTTTGAGAAATTTTAACCAAAGTACGTTATAGACATTTCATTAAGACCCTAAAGAATCAACTTGTGGAAAATGGGCATCCGATAACCCCTTTAAGATGGACATTTTAACACTGCACAGCTGATTATGTTTGTCTTTCTCAGCTCTTTACTCTGAGCCCAGGTTAAGCATCCATGTAAACTCCTCTGCTTTGAAAGTGCAGTTTGAGACAGAAGGTTTTCCCAAACCTGAGGTGATCTGGCTGGGGGAACATGACCAGAACCTCATTTATCACCTGGAGATCCACGGCCAGACAGAAGATGGACTTTATTTCATAAAGAGCATCTGTGAGGCCCAGAAGCCAGTGATTAATATCACATTTACACTAAAGAACCATCTCCTGAACCAGAACCTGCAGAGACCAGTGGTTCTCAGCTATGGTAAATACCTTTATTTACTGTGTGCAAATGGTGTGTGTGAGAAACTGGCAGTTAGAGGCATGTCATTCATTACTTTATGCAATTAAGGTATTTATGACTTGTTGCAAGTGATTTGTTGCCATAAGCTTTTTTTTTTTGTTGCTATATAACAAAGAACTCCTTTGTCTGCTTTAGGCGAGATTTTAGACCTGTCTAACCGCAAATAATTATGGAAGGATAAGACAATGATTCAGTTGATAGACATAATTTTTTTCCTGTTATGAAACACTGATGTGAGTGACAGAGGTGGAAGCACATATTTGTACACTTTTTCATAATGTAGAAGAAATCAAAGGCAAATTAAATTGATCTAAGTTTTGAAGTATTTAAAGAGGCTTGGGTGTTGGTAACACAAGTTTGGGGTGTTATTTCGTGGTGCAGTTTCATCTTTCCTCTGCAGCACTGAAACTGACGCTGTTCATTATATTGTTAGTTATTTTGGCTGCACCCTTTTCAAAACCAGAAGGTAATTACTAGCAATTTAAAGCTGTTAAACTGAGAATGACTCTGTGTTTTTAGATGGTTTGACTGAATTAAACTCACTGTTATTTATTCAAGTATGAGAAGTTCCTGTATCAGCACTCCAATTAACCAATAATGTTTCTGGTGAGGTGTGTTTGAATGATGCGCCGCGCGCCTTCACGAGTTCACGGAGTGGATGGGGGAAATTATCTGGATAATATTTTCAGCGATTAACAACATAAATTCTGCTTTGGATCACACAAACCTACTGTATTCCGCCAGAGAGGACTGCGGGTGCAACGCATCGTCATTTGGATTACTTTTAGTGCTGCTTTTGACATTTTTGCAATAAATAAATTATTGTAATTGCATTTATCTGTCTGTCATGTTTTTCTTATACTGTACAGAAATGTTTAGGCTTATAGGTAGGAGTGGAATTAGCGACAATAAATATATTTTAATGCTATATTGTTACTAATAGTTGTATTTCGGTCATTTGCGTTTTATATCCTATATCGCTATAAAATGGGTAGGTTAAGGTTTGGGGCTAGGTTAAGGGGTCTAAAAATCTAAATTGCGTATTAATAAAATGATAAAAATGCATTGATATGAATATCTAAATGATGTAAAAGATACGTAAATATTTTTAAGTTTTTTAGCTAAAAATACGTAGCGATTTGTACGGTTTAAACGTTGAAATACGTCTAAATTGTACGTTTTAGCATGATTAAAAACGTACAAAAGTGTACGTTTTGTGCTTGTAAATGTTACGTATTAATACCTACGTATAAACATGAGACCAAGCTGAAACAACATAACTGTTGACTTTCATCATCTCTATAATAATTAAGGCATTTTGGAAAATGAACATGATCAAACATCTATTGTGGAGTGGACTCTGGGTCGGAGCAGACTATAGTTTCTTTCACTGATCTTAACAACTTGTCTCCCGTAGCTTCTTTGGATTGTGAAGTGATTCCAGATGCACACTGTAGAATCTCGGAGTAATGCTGCGGTCACACTACACGTGAGCATGTGACATTTCTACGGACCCTGCAACGTTCATGATATGAAGTGGCATTCTGCAGCATCATTTTAAAAAACTTGATTTTACCGCACAGCTGCAATCCTGCATATTTAAAGTTTGCATTCCTTTAACATGGTCACATGACTTAATGTGATGTGAATTCACCAAGCTTGACCTCCCACATTTGCATAATGTATGAATGAAAGTCAGTGGAACAAAAAGCGTAGTGTGACCATCACATAATTAGAAGGTCATCCTCTGTATTCAGACAAACAGTACTGTTTTTCACATGCTATATAGTAGTAAAGTAGGCATATTCAGATGCAGTATTGTAGTCTCGACTCACTACTAATGATGTGTCAGGAAATAAATCAGGGATTTTGATTAGGTAGAGAGTATTGTGGTGTGCCTCCAGGAAAAGGTTTGGGAAACACAGATAATTAGCAGCCCTGGGTTTTTCCTAAAACATAAATATATTTCAAGAAATGGCATTGTGTCTTAATTGAAATCATGGCAGCTCTTTTGCAGTTGGGGGAATTTTATTGCCAGATTATGATTGCAGCTTCTGTAGCCTCATTACTATCTGCAAACATTGTCCATCAGTGGAGAGGAGACACCTTCTTACATTTATACAGCACAAAGTATGTGCCGATAAAGTTGTTTGATAAGTTCGATAAGTTTGAGCTGATAAAAATTCTGACTAGCCCACCAGTATGTCAACAGGATCAGTGATATTAATAGTTAAGCAGTATTCAGTTTATTCAAAATATATTAGCCTGCATAATGATTGTTAGTTTTCCTCTGAGAGATTGTACATACTATATCCAGTATATAGTATATATCCAGGGTTTGAAAGCTTAAGACTTTTTTTTGTAATAATAAGTTTGAATGATTTTGTGCAAGCACTGTAACTTTTTATATGCTGTGATTATAATACTGGATTTAGATTTGGATCTGGACTTAACAGTTAATTTGACACTATCAAACAAATACCACATATTGAACCAAATTATCTTTTTCTGTTTCAGATGAGGACACCACAGACCATATGATCATAGTACTTGCTGTCCTCTCAGTGGTTTGCATTCTTCTGGTTATTGGCATCATTTGGTTAGCAGTGCAGAAGCAGAACAAACAGAGATCTTCCCTGTGATGAACCATGAGAGATAATGAATGGTGATGTAGCTGTTCCCAAATGCATGCATGCTTCGACTTGTGCTAAACATTACTGGCATTCATGAAATGATAACAGAGCACATGTTCATTAAACTGTTCTTGTGTAAACTGAAAATAATTGCAAAATGCGCTAATTTTACGCAAGAATTGATTACTAAATAATTTACACAGATGTCGACAAATGTCAGAGACCATAAGTGGGAGTCATATGGGTGTGTGCAAAAAGTAATTTCTCAATCTTTTTGCAGCTTATTTATTTATTGACCGCTGTGCAGTTTTAAAACATTTTATACATTTTTTTTAAATAATATTTTATATGGAATTTATTTTAAATATAACAATACCACCATGGATGTTTATTCTCACACTTTTAATTGTCAATGAAATATTTCATATATTAACTACTGCAGAACATAATCCTGTACTGTACAAGGTAAAATTTCTTCTTGTACATACCTTGACATAAGTAATACACTGATACATGTTTAAGTTTGTAATGGATATCTTAAACCGTAATAGAACTATGGAGACAATCAGATGAATGAATGATGCCTTTATATAGAGCTTTATTGTGTATTGCTGTACACCCAAAGCGCTTTACAATCATGGGGGGGGGGGTCTCTCCTTAACCACCACTAGTGTGCTGCATCCACCTGGATGATGCGACGGCAGCCACAGTACAACGGTGCCAGTGCGCTCACCACACTCCAGCTACAGGTGTGAGTGGAGAGGAGAGAGAGTCATAGAGTCAATCAAGTGGATGGGGATTATTAGGAGGCCATGATTGGCAAGAGCCAGTGGAGGGAATTTGGCCAGGACACCGGGGTTACACCCCTACTCTTTATGGGAAGTGCCATGGTATTTTTAATGACCACAGAGAGTCAGGACCTCGGTTTAACGTCTCATCCGAAAGATGGTGCTTTTTGACAGTATAGTGTCCCCGTCACTATACTGGGACATTAGGACCCACACAGACCACAGGGTGAGCACTCCCTGCCAGCCTCACTAACACCCCTTCCAGCAGCAACCTAGTTTTCCCAGGAGGTCTCCCATCCAGGTACTGACTAGGCTGAACCCTGCTTAGCTTCAGTGGGCAACCAGTCTTGGGCTGCAGGGTGATATGGCTGTGGTGAACTTTAGGCCATGCATACGTTCAAATACAATTACACACATTCTATGTGATGAACTCTGTCCGTAAACCATTTCAAAAATAGGTGTCATTCTAATTCTCTGTTCTCTTGTTTCGCATTAAATATAGGGAGGGGACTGCCATGTTGACAGCTTTGATGAATTTAACAATTTAAGCTTATCATCAAGGTGGACCATGGACCATAAATAATATGTGTCTACTTAAGGGTTTATAAGGTCAGCATATACATGCGTAATGTATGTGTGTTTGTATTTATATGTAAAAAGGTTATGGTCTTTTATGTTTCTCTTCCAGGCAGCTCAGTGAAAACAGTATTTGTAAGGAAAACAGACACACAGGAATAGAATTTCATGAGGGCATCAGATTATCATCACATTTATATCCTGGTAGTTCACTTTAAAAAAACTGCAATTCTGTCATCAGTTATGCATCTTCATGTCATTCCAAACCTGCATGACATACAGTACCTTCTTCTGTGGAACACAAAATATTATATATATTTAGAGTTTTCAACTGTTTTGTCCACACATTGAAAGTTAATGAAATCCAAAACAACACTGGACACCCCTGACTTTCACTGTATAGGCAATAATACAGTGATTGCAGTACTTCCATCTCATGTTTCCATCATCTGAAAATGAAAGACATTTGTTAGATGTTAGCTGTACATCAAAGCCTGTATCAGTCCTACATCATAACCATAATTATTGTTAAACTGGGTTTGATTTAACACTATATTGAGGTCAAGCTTGAAGCACATGTGCGAATCCTAATACCTGAGATCTACTGATAAACTTTGAAGACCCTGCAGAGACATGTAGGAAATTCAATAACATCATAAAAAGGCCCCAGTGAGCTTGGGTATTGAAAAGGTGCAGTCACCCTTGAGCATCAGAGAAATGAAAGTTTCTTTCATTTCATGAAACTCCTGAATATCCAGTTCAGTGGAAACTCTGTTCACACAGTGGTAGTGATACATTTCACAAACATGAATTGTTTATTCAGTCCATTCTTACAAAAAGGCCATAAAAACTAAGTGACCTGGGAAAAAATGTGTTGAATGTGTTTTTGTTTTTTTTTACTAAATGTAATCTCTGCAGTCAAATCAGTGACACATTGTAACTTGAATGATGGTGGTTACACAACAAATCTGTACAAACAAACTTTTTGAATCCAGCTAGTTGCATGACTTGCTTCAAACATCATTCAGAGTAACCTGATGCTGATGGCTATTTTTTCCCACACACTACATTTAGAGCAAATCACAATCCAGCATCCTTCTTTTAGCTTACCCATGCATTAATACAATGTACTGTAGCAATAATTTCACATAGTTGTTTATTAATCAAATAAAGCTGGTGTTAAATGACTATGGCCTTCGGTTTCATCTTTTTAAGACGGTCTTTGTCTTGGTTAAAAAACAAGGAACTGTTTGTTGTTGTTTTTTTTTAAAGTATCAAACAGTAAACACATTTCCTCCCATTTTATTTTGTTTGTCAACCTATGACATTATATACTTTTGTTTAAGTGGCAGTGTGGCATAAGGCTAAATAAACCAGTAAAAATTATTTTAAAATTATGGCCTTCGGTTTCATCTTTTTAAGACGGTCTTTGTCTTGGTTAAAAAACAAGGAACTGTTTGTTGTTGTTTTTTTTTTAAAGTATCAAACAGTAAACACATTTCCTCCCATTTTATTTTGTTTGTCAACCTATGACATTATATACTTTTGTTTAAGTGGCAGTGTGGCATAAGGCTAAATAAACCAGTAAAAATTATTTTAAAATGACTGTTTTATTATTTTCTTCTAAGGTGATCTGAAGCATGTTTTTTCCATTGGTATACAATGTGGACTGTTATTCTTATGACAACAAACATGACCTCATGCACACACTGCCTGCAGCAAATTCTGCAGGATTACAATGAATTCACAAACCCCTCAGATGTTTGAGTAATTTGATAATACTTCCAGCTGTTTTAGCTTTTTTAACTCATTTTACCATGTTTAAATCCTTTTATAGTCCAGGTGATATGTTCCCTTTTTCATAAAAGCATGAAACTTGGTATAATTATACAGTTTTCAAGAATACAATCATTTATTTCAGAGATATAAAAAATATAATATCAAGTAAGTGTATTTTTCCTTACCTCTCAGGCAGAGTCAGGTAGGCGGTAGTATGTTTCCAATACATTCTTGTTCTCTCTCAACAATTATCTAACATCACAACATAAACTGCGTCCTATCTGCGCCTCTGTCATTTTCTGTGGGTCTCTGGAGATGTCAGTCAGCTGTCAACAAGCTTCATTCTGGCCATTGCTTCTCAGTGTACTCTTAGTATTTTGGGCTTGACTGAGACCTGGATTAATCCAGAAGACTCCGCAACCCCTGCTGTTTTCTCTAACAACTTCCCTTTCTCTCACACCCCCCGTCAGGTTGGAAGGGTACTGGTCTTCTCATTTCTAATAATTGGAAATACTCAACCCACTCTTCCCTATGTAATAAATATTCTATTGAGTTTCATGCTATTATGGTAACAGCTCATGTTAAACTCCATGTTGTAATGATTTATCGCCTTCCTGGTAAACTGGGCACCTTTATAGAGAATCTGTATGGGCTGCTGTCCTCATTCTCTGTGGATGGCAGTCCACTTGTAGTCTTTGGTGACTTCGAAATCCATCTGGACAAGCCTTACACTGCAGACTTCCACTTCCACTCCTTGCTTCATTCGAGCAGTCTTTTGGGTGGCTCACCAATGTACTAGATTTCTCAAATACCAAAAATTAAGTAGGCTTGACCAAACTTTTTGTGGGGAGAATAATTTATTGAATATGGTAGTGTAGCAGTTCTTCAATAGCGATGTTAGCATGTCTTCCTTCAAACAATTTTACCCGTGTATGAATCCTAGCTTCTCCCAAAGTTCTGTCTGTGGGATATAATTTTATACCTGAAGACAAAAGGGCTAGAAACAACCGATACTGTTAGGATCTTCCCGCTGGAGATCCTGCACTCTACAAGACATTCCTGAGGAATGCTGTTCCTTTGTTATTCTAATTGAATGGACCATTTGGTTCACACCTTTATAGACACAGTTACATTATTTCTTTCACAGAATGACCAGTTGAACTTTAACCAATCAGGTTTCAGCAGCTTTTGACACTGTGAATCATCAGATTATCCTGTCTACCATCACCGGATCTGCACTCCACTGGTTTGAATCTTATCTCACAGGTAGGTCTTTCAGGGTTTCTTGGGGAGGAGAGGTATCCAAAGCACATCAACTGGTCACAGGGTTTACGCAGGGATCAGTTATTGGACCCCTCCTCTTCAACATATACACTACATCACTGGGACCCATTATACAAGCACATGGTTTCTCCTACTATTGCTATGCTAATGACACACAGCTCTATCATTCATTTCAACCAGACAATCCAATAGTAGCTGCATGGATCTCAGGCTGCCTGGCAAACATCTCGACATGGATGAAGAAACACCTGCAGCTCAACCTGGCAAAGACTGAGCATCTCTTTTCCCTGCCACTCCGACTCTACAGCATGATTTCATCATCCTGCTAGGTTTATCAAAAATTATTATTTGGTGACCAGCTGACCTTCAAGGACCATATTGTAAAGACAGCTCGATCATGCAGGTTCGCATTGCACAACATCAGGAGGATCAGGCCCTTCCAAACCTGGACTACAACTTCTTGTCCAGGCCCTTGTCATTTCTAGGCTGGACTATTGCAGTGCTCTTCTGGCTGAACTTCCATCATGCACAATCAAACCTCGACAAATGATTCAGAATGCAGCGGCACGACTGATCTTCAACGAGCCCAAAAGGCCCACTTCACTCCTCTCTTTATCTCCCTGCATTGGCTACCGGTTGCAGCTCGCATCAAGTTCAAGAGATTGATGTTTGTGTACAGAACAGCCACAGGCTCAGCACCCTCCTACTTCCTCCTCACTTTTACAAATCTACATCCCCTCCAGAAGCCTGAGATCTGTAAGTAAGTGATGCCTTGTGGTAGCATTTTCGTTCACTTTTCCTGGTTGGTGAAATGATCTTCCCACAATCGCAGTAATTAACAGAACACCCAACACGTTATCTGACAACAACACTAATTTAATCCCATACCCAACCCATTTGACATAAAAAACTGGGACCCGAACCGTACCTGCATTAAATCTCCTACATGAGGTAGACAAAACTCCTTTATTAAAACTTTTATTCAAATTGTGAATAGATTAAATACAGAAAGCAACCAAAGAGCGCTCCCTTTAATATAACCACTACAGCTGTCAATCAGTGGCAGCGTGATTGGCTACATTGCTCAGCGTGCCGCTAATCTCGCTTACATTACACTAATACACTATTCACTGTTACTTGCTTTAATGGCGGATGTGTGTCTACCTTTGAGTGCAGGTGAGGACACGTTTGAGCTGTATTCGGTGCAGCTCGAGCTGGAGGCTGTGGAGAAGCAGATCCGTGACCTGGTGGCGAAGCAGACCCAGCTGAGAGAGCGGAGAGCCGTGCTGGAAACATCCCAGGCTGACACTCACAAGTCCGAGGTAAGTATACAGTGCGCTGCTAACTCTCCCACCACCTCTACTCCGTGTGTTTCTCTGCACAGGCCCGGTGCACCCAGGACGCGATCTTCCCAGATGTCCTTCACCCCGGCGCCAGGACACCACGGACCCTGGGTGCACCCGCCACGGAAGACGCAAGCCAGGCCGGCCAGGCCCCGGGCGAACCGCTTCGCTCCCCTCCGCGAGACGGAACGCGACGCTGTGATCATCGGAGACTCCATCATCTGGCACGTCCGTTCTACGTTAGCTGAAGGTAAAGTGCACACTCACTGTTTCCCTGGCGCACATGTTCTCGATGTTTCTGCGCAGATACCCGCGATCCTGAAGGACGACGAGAGCACCGGAGCGGTCGTGCTTCACGCGGGGGCTAACAACACCAAGCTGCGGCAGACGGAGACACTGAAGAGGGACTTCAGGAGCCTGATCGAGACGGTGCGCCGCACATCGCCCGCGACGACGATCATCGTGTCAGGACCCCTTCCCACGTATCGACGAGGACACGAAAGGTTCAGTAGACTTTTTGCTTTAAATGAATGGTTATTGTCATGGTGTAAAGAACAGAAACTGCTCTTTGTTAATAATTGGAATCTTTTCTGGGAGCGTCCTAGGCTTTTTCGCGCTGATGGCCTGCACCCCAGCAGAGTCGGAGCGGAACTCATGTCGGACAACATCTCCAGGACGCTGCGCTCCATATGACTAGTAAGCCAATTCTCAAAAAACTGCCCTGATGACTTTTGTTCTACCCGCTTTAAATGATAGAAGTATTTGTGCTGTCCAATCTATAAAGACTGTGTCTGTTCCCCGAATAGTGAGGTCAAAATATAAATTTAATGCAGGATCTAAAAAAATCTGATCGTGATTAAACCAGAAAAATGTCAAATAAATGAA